AAACAGATACAATCTAGTTCCACAAAGATGAAGTGCATTGAGTTCAAATCCATCCATCCTTGCAAAACAGAGGGAAAGTGCAAAACCATAGCATGCCTCTTGAGGGCAATGGTCTCGTTTGTGGGTATCTGTCCTGTCCCCAGAAGAGTTCCTGGAAAAATGTAACAAGGCTTAATGCCTACTTATCCATTAACTTGTTCTCAAAGCTCTTTTCTCCGTGTAGGCATAACTTAAACCAGAAAAAAACCTTGTTGAAACTGCTGCTTTTTTCTTTTTCCTTTTTAAGAGATCACCTCTTGTGCTTTTCTTTCATTCTGTAGAGTACACAGCTGACATTATTACCCACATGCTTAGCAGTGCCACTGCTGTAATGGATGACGCTAGTACTTAAATGCACTAGGAAGACAGGAGTGGGCTGAAGCCATTTTTAGAACAACATGCTATTTTCTTTTCTGGTGCTGACTCATTCACTGTACCTTGTGGTATGTTTACCTTGATTGCTTGCTGCTTCACGGGCTGTTGAATGGCTGAGGGAGGAATATTAATCAGTAACACGTAGCACTGTGCTCCAGAACTTCAGTGATGGCGAGTGCTATGCTTCTGCCTGTCTTTTGGCTTTATTGTAGGAATTGCTTTTCTTTAACTAGTATTCACAGGTATTTCAGTCCTGGAACCTGTAAGTGACACTTTTGTATCCACCATTTTAGCACAGCTATCTAGTTCATAGCCATTTTTCCTGTTGAAAATCTTTGCTCCTCACTAGTACTCATACCAGAGTGAAATTAATCAAAGTCATAGCACTATATACATGTTGAACATAATTAGCCAAAACAGCTGATGAAGACAGAAGAGATCTTGCAACTCATTTATCTTTTTCTTAACATATTTTATATTAAAATTAAAATGACATGGAAAATAGTAGCAGCTGCTATAGCTAAAACTATGCAAAAGAGTGCTTTACTGCATGTGTGATCTACTCGGGGTATTCTGCCCACTGAGTGAGATGACGGAAGTGTTTGGTGCCCAGAAATGCATTTGTAGCTCAATTTGTCTGCATTCAAAACAGAAATTAAAGGCTCATACATAAAAACTGTTGCTAATCATTCATAAGAATCTGATAAAAGTTATTAGTGTACAGTTACAAATGACTGCTCTCTGCTCTTGAGGTGCTAGTTGACCATCTGGTTCACGTTACAGCTAAGCTTGATTTAACAATAAACTGGACCCCAAAGGAGCTTCCCATTCTTCCCTTTTCCCTTCTCTCTGTGTGTTCCCACCGCCTCCACTGTAGCAAGAGTTATGCAAATCTAATCCAAGCTTTAGATGAGAAAAGTAATCACTATTTTGTACAGCATTACTTCTACAAAATTAGTTCTCTGAAACTGTCCACTTTAGGGCTAGATGACTACTCATGCTGGAACAAGGTACATTGACTGAATCATCTCTAACTTACAACAGCACACTTGCTGTACAAGGAGATCCCCCAGCTGCAAGGACTCTCTGTGGAGAAACAGGGAATACGAAACCCTAAGTGAGCAGCCAGAGATTAAGCTTGGAGATTTACCAGTTAAAGAAATACCTGCTTTCAACTATAGGACATGACTTAAGCATATAATATGTAGATGCCTTCAAAACCTCTTTTCTTATCTCCTGTTTTCAGGTATCTGAATTTGGTAGAAGCTCTCTTCTTAGAAAGAAATTTCCTTTGTTCACTCTTCAGAGTTTCAGTCTTAAGGAAAAGGCAGCTTAGTAATTACTGTGCAAGACATAAATGGAAGCCCAGAAACACAACACAGAAAAAATGGTCTCAATCACAGGGCTAAGACACTGCCATGTCTTCCAGTTTGGGACTCTATATCAAAACTCTCCAGTGTAAAACAGAAGTAGCAGTATTTTATACAGTTGTCAAAAGATAAAAGAAGTAGAAGAAGACCAGTAGATAGAAAAGTGAGTTGGGCACACTGAATCCTCATATAGCTAGGTAGCAGAATAAAAGCCATATATATAGAAATAATATTATATTATTAATATATAAACATAGAAAATTAATGTTTATTATTCTGAGGTATGTTTTCATATTCATCTATAAGATTACTGAAAGACTATAATTTCACAGCTTTGCTTTACAAAGAATTAAAAAATATATTGCTGACATCACTCAGGAGAAATGTCTTTTAATATCATATGTTGTAATGCTATAAACACAGAGATCCTGTGAAGGGCCTGGGGTTTTACGCTAATCTGTTCACTTGTGCACCTCAGGGAAATCTGCTGCTGTATAATCAACTATATAATCCCTTGAATTCTCATTGGCAGATATTCTGGAGCAAGGCAGTAAACTCTTCTGGCTAGGGATCGTGATGTATTTCTCTACCTCTCTCAGTTTCTGAACCGAATGATTACTTTTATCCAGTCATTACTTGGTGATGCTTCTCACACTGCCATAAGAAAAGTTAAGTATCGCTCCTCAGTCTTGCAGATGGAGTAATCGAAGTGTGCAGTGATCAACAAATTACGTTTCATGGGTCACAGAGAAAGTTCACGTCAGAGTTAATAATGAGACTTATGTCTCCGGTCTTAATGATTACAGTGTGACAGCACAGCATCCCTCAAAGTAGAAGTTTCAAAACTAAACATTTAGTTATGACATTGACAGAATGGGGTCCTTTCCTGTTCTTTGCTGACCTTGGGCTAGTGAATAAGCCAGCCACTCAGTCTCAATGATATCTATGCTCTGAATGGTATATTGAGATTCTACAGAACATATATTTTATTTTAATATTTTGTAATAAGAATATTTCTGTTATAGAATTCCTGGTATTATTGCTTTGGACACAGTTATAGATTCTTTATGGTAGTAATTGAGCACTGGACTCTTAACAAATTTCCATTATAGGATCCCTGTGAATAGGGAATGGCTACTATCTCATTTTTAAAGGGGCTTAAAACCAAAGATCACAGTGTCTCTTGTGCAGCAAAACTTTAAATTCACATCTCCTAGATTTTAAGCTGGATGAACCTTCCTAATTACTGGATGAAAATTCCTTTCTGTAGTCATCCCAATTCACAAAACATAAAACAATGACTTTCAAAATGTGTGCTTTCCTGCTCCCTAGGCTCGCCACTGGGCTTGATCTAAAGCTTAGCGATAACCAAGCTAGTTTGTGAACTCAGTGTTTCACATTCACTTGAGGATGCTGATATAAGTTGGGAGTAAGAAGAAGACCCATGAAAAGTAAAAACTGGTGGCTTCTGCGAAGAAAAATGAGATATAAAGAGGGGGGAAGAAGAAAAAATGGAATACGATGAGAAGGAAAGCACAAAACTCAGCAGAGATGTAGAGGAAGCAGAGCTGCCTGTGTAGGAGTATGCCACGGCGAGGAAAAAGCTAGCCATACCTAAACTTCTCTGTAACGTCAGAGCTGTACACGCAGTTTTAGAACAGAGACACAAGTGGAAGTCTGTACAGGACATGCTTCCAGTTCTGGCTTGTTGAGTTAGATTAAAAACTTTCAGGGAAGTGCAGGCTGTTTTACATACGTGAGAACTGTACTTGGAGATGATAAAATATCACAGCTGCCATTCTAAATTGGAATCAATTTGTATGGTAATGCTATGAGGATTGCAATTTCTTTATTTTCCTTTCTCTGCAATGAGGAACTTTCCCCGTTTCAGTAGGGAAGACTGATCCTGGATGTCTGCATATGCATTTGAAAAGATTCGGCTCTTCAAATGTGACTCATTACTTTTGGAATCCTATCGCTCAGAGAGAAGAGAACTCTGCACAAAAGTGCAATATTTGTTGCTAGTCTGCATTTGCTGGCTACTGCCTAGCCCACAGGAACTGAAAATCTCTAAATACATAAATCTTGAGTGGAGATTTGCCCGTGTTAATGTGAGAATCAGTTAAGTTCTGCATTAAGAGAAGTTCCTTAAAAAGAAATAAAAGAGAAGGTACTCAGAACAATGTGGGCTTTGCAGGCTGTACTTGGTAAAAATACCTAAGAGAATATTTGCATAGTACGTTTTTTCCAGTGGCAAAGCTAGAAGAAGAAGTTATCCTCCCAGCTACTCCTTCCTTTCTGCTCTGCTCCCACTGCAGTTCCCTGTACACCTTCATGTGTTAATGTCACGTGTCATGGGACTGTTCTGGTCCTGGGCCATGTAAATGATGTAAATGTCTAAAAAATTGTTTTGGAAGCTATTTTTTAAACCCACATAACTTTAAGATCCAGATCATCATGCAGCATCTTGAAAGGTGACATTAGCATGGCTTTGTGGTGGCAAACAGCAGGAAGCAGCAGGTATAAGAGTTTAAATGTAGGAGAAAGTGGGAGCTTCTTGGTTGCTGCTAGAGAAAACAAGTGTGCAGAACACCACAAGCAGTCTTAATGCTAGGCCTGAATATTTTTCTCCCTGAGGTACCCATGTAACTTTTAACAAGGATAGCTTATAGTGTTATCTCAAAAGAGGCTCAAATGTGACCTTGGATGACCCAGTCACTAAAAGGAAGTTTGTGAGTGATCATTATCATGACAAAGCCATTGAGTAGACCAGTAAATCCATTCTCTTGTTACCTATAAAAACAGAGAAAAGGAATAAAAGAACACAAAAACAGGATTCCACGCAGCTTGTTTTTAAAACTACTCATTCAAGCACGTAGTTGAAACATTTTTTCTAGTCCCCAGGCTGCTGGGAGAACTGCCCGCTTTTTAGTCTGATATATGGATTTTATCAAGATAATCAGCGTGAAAAGATGAAAACACATCCACTGACCTTAAACTAATTTATATCGGACCAGTTTTATAGTTTTAAACCTGTGCTCTATAAACAAAGACAAAAGCTAGAGTTTTCTCACTTTCCTGGAATATCTGCATTAGGTGAGCCATACAGATACTCTTCGAGAGATACACAGACTACCCTTGGGTTTTTTACGATGACTATGGCATAAACTGTGAGGCTTTTTTTCATCACAAACCTTAAGAAAATTTTCCTCTTACCTGAAGGTAATGGCATGGCCTCAAGGAAGGTTTGATTTCCTGATGAACCAGAGGCTTATCTAAGTTCAGTGATGATTTGCGATAAGCTTCTTTAGCCTGACTTACTGTAAGCGTGGACCAAGAACTCCTTTTCATATATTTACCATCAGGGGTCATTGCTAGCCCTTCACAAGCCGAACATTTCACATCATTGTTACTTTTGGAAGTCTTCAATGAGAGATCCCCAAAATGCCCCTGGAGTGCCTCAGGATAGCAATGGGATATATGATCTGCATGGTGCCTATTTACCACACTAGGGGTTCGGTAAGTGCTATCACTGTCCAAATTATCATCAGAGCTCCACCAGCTGCTCATTCCAGATTTATGCTTGCTTTCTGGTTTTCGCTCCTTACTTTTACTCCTTTTGCTATGCTTTGAATGGTGCCCGTGATGATGGTCATCCCCTCGACTGTCTCCCTTTGTTCCATTAACATTGCCCTTGGATGATCCTTCCAGAGAATGAGATTTAGTAAAAAGTTTCTGGACTGAATGAACGAGATGGCGTATTCTTCCTGGGCTCTCACTGCGTTGTTCCGCAGCTGTTGAGGTCCTCTGGTACTGTAAAGTGTGAAACCCATCCCGGTGAAGAGGAAGCTGTTTCTCAAATTGGTCCAAAAGATTTGCAGGAATACGGTTAATCTTAGGGTTTCCGTGAGACATGGCGCAGTCGTCTCTTGAGTCGTAATGTGAGCTGTAGTGCATTCTGGGGAAAGTGCTACTTGACATGTGATCGCCCATTACCATGGGCATCATCATGCATTCAGAATGAATGGAGCTGCGTGGCGAGCAACGATGGTGGTCCATCGGGCAACTCTCCGTGGGGCTGAGAAGATACGATTGCCTTGGCTCCTGCCCATGGTGGATATGGTCGTGCGTGTGCTCACAATCTTCAGGGGATGCTAAGCCACAAGTATGAGCTGAACATAACTGTGGTTGGTTGCGACTACCAGATAATCCTTTCATATTCCTCGGAGCAGGAGAGTATCTTTCTTCATTGAAGTGCTGAGAAGGCGACCATGAGTACTGCTGGTCTGTCAGGAGAGCACATAAAACCTATGTTATGTGTCTGATTAAAAGATTAATTTGCAAAATCCAAGTATATTGCAAAATGAAATATTTTTTTCTCATTGAGTTTGATGGGGAGTCTCACCATTCATGGAATTTCATTCACCATTTTAAAACTGGTTAAAATGCTCACTACAAGCAAATTATAGGGTGACTGCAGCCTCCTTCCTGTTCATGAAATTGTCTGCTAGCAGTTCTAAATTTTATGAAGCTATTCATTATGCAAATTTAGTCAAATAGGTTTAATGGATACATTCAAGAATTCAGTTTATCGTTTGATATTTGGAATTCATATGTCAAGCTTTGCGGCTAGTCATTTAAGCTACATGGGTCTAGTTTCTGTTTCTGTGGTTTCTCAGCTGGGTATCTTAACCTAAATGTATGCTTTCTCCATGCAGCCATTTTTGTATCACAAACTGAACCTCATCTTCTTAAACGAATCTCAGTTTCAGGATCCCAAGTTCACTGTTCATAAACATAAATAATAAACAGCAAAGAGAAAAAGAAAATGAACATGCTGAAATGAAGCTTAATTTTCATATCACTAAACAGTTTATGAATAAGCATTTCATACTATTCGAACATCTGTTATCTTTAGTCCAGAAGTATTATTGCTATTCCCACACATGTAAAGTCTTCTCCATAAAGCATTTTTTCCCTTTTTATGTCCACATTACAAAATATTTATTTAATAATTGTATGATATTCCTGATAAAACAAATATCTTCAGGTTCAAGCCTCAAGTTTTTAGATACTTGATTATTGGTTCCTATGGATCATGTGCTCCAAGTGGTCGTTATTAAACAAGCACGAATACTAAATAAGAGCAGCTTGTAAAGCAAAGCCTTTGATTTTTTTTTTCTCTCATGCAATTTCTTGCAGCTGTCAAATGCTACAAACAGAAGATTAAAAACCCCAGAAATGCTTCAATTTGATTTTTGCATTCACTTTCCCTCTTCAATTTCAGCTTATTAAAGCAACATTTCAAAAGCAGATAAAGATATAGGATGCAAGAAAATCCTTCAGAGGATCAGACAGATACATAAGTGTTTATACAACCCACTTAGCACAGTCTTTCTTCAAATTTGCTCTCAAGAATCTGAATAAGCTTGCACAGGTGCCTGATACAAGGAAGCTGAAGTCCATAATGAGAATGGAAGCCAGAGAATATGTACTTTTTATGTATAACAATGTAACTGGGCACTGGAGACCAACCTGGAGAGATAACACAGTAGCCAACACCACTTTGAGGAGTTTCTAAGCATATGAGAAAACTCTCCTAAATCATGTTCCCACTGCTGGTGAAATCTCGATGCTTGGATATCAATATCTATATCTCTCCAATTTTATTCAACTAATAAGTGTTATGTCATGATACCTTCAGTACCGAATGCAATTTGTTGCAAGTGTTTAGCATGAGCAATCTCATAACCTAAATGCTCTAAATTTCCTATAGTGGAAGATGCTTGAATAATTTTGTTACATCCTAATTTCAACAGAGCTCCACATAATGTTTTAAAATGAATGTAGCATTCAACTAATAAACAATAAAGTATTCTTCATCCTGGGCACAATCCTGCTACACTAAAGTCAAAGATGGGTTTAAGGGTCCAAATGTCACCTCTAGACTTTATTATGATGTGAAACTGATGTGTGTGTGCTTATGTCCTTTTCTGCTTCTATTTTCTTGGCTATTTTCACATTAAATTAAAAACTTATTACTGTTGGTTACTCAGTCTGTTGTACCATTTAGTTTATAATACCCTGCATAAATGCGGTTACAAAAAGGAAATATAACTTTCTCTGAAATAACATAATTTTGATTATCCAATTAAAAGTACAGCTATATATAGACAAGGTAGTAAATTATAACAGTGCATTGGGATTCAGCCACATAAGTAGCACTGTAATTAATGGTACTTAACCCAGTATATTACTAAATGTTATCAGGGGAATAATAATGGTCCATGTGTTGAAGTTAGTCTGTGCTTCCAATAAAGGGTTCCCAAAGCACCTGACAGAGAGTACTGCATTAGTTTTTACAGTCCCATGAGATGGTGAAGGCATTGTTCTCCTTTTACAGAAAATGAACTGGAATACAGGCAACATTTTCCAGAGTGCTTGTGGATTTGCCGATTTTAATTTTCACAGTGGCATGAGCCAGAGGGAGGTGGAAGGAGGCTCTTCCATCAAACTGGCAGCATGATGAGAGTCAAGCTTGAGTCTTTTTGTCACAATCTTGCACATCTATGAATGAAAGTAACTCTTGCACCAAGTCTCGCCAATGCATTAAAAAAAAAAAAAAAAAAAAAAAGGAAGGGCATGACAGAGATACAGAACAAAAGAAAGCGTTATGTAGGAATAAGAAACTAGTTTAAATGAGTTCCCTAGCATGGAACTGCTAGTCCCTGATGATTTCTTTAGGCCTTACACAGCATCACACATAGCCCAAAAGCCTTCAAACATTTTCATCCTGTTACATCCCTAGGAATATGAGGCAGCACGATTTGATTGCACTGCAACGGATAACCTAACAACAGTTTTTCTGTCCCTCATGAATCCCTATGATTTTAGGTCAGTGCAACTATAGAAAAATGCTGTTTTCTATATGTTGCTGTCACAGCCTTATAGCATTTTATGTGCCCCATGGAACATCAGAATTTTTTTTTGTTTGAAACATGGTAGTTAGAAACATCTATAGGCATTTAATAAGCATAATCAAAATAATTAAAAACTGAATTAAGAAGGGGACATTTTCCAAAAGTAATTTTCCCCTCTTAAATCTGCCATGGAGAGTAGCTGTTACAGATAAAGTTTCAAATTACTTACATGTGCATCACCTAAATTTATCACTCCAATTAGGTTTAGGTGCTGCTTGGGACATCAAACCTGTTCTGTGTGCTAGGCACATCGCTTCTTCTTAGAAACCCTCTGAAAATCTTCAAAATTTTGCATTCTCTTATATAAATTTACCAAGTTATCTGTGCTTCATACTATTCAGTCAGCTTTGTTCAGGAAGCGTATTTTAAGGCTCGAAGAAACAGTTGAGCTACAGCTGAATGAATTACTGTATGGTACAAGACCGGTTTAACTGACCATGTGCTGGCTCCTAGCCTGCCAGAAATGCAAAGAAAAATGTACTAGCTTAAAATTCAGTTAAGCTAACACACTTTTCTAGCATTTGCAAAGGGCTAAAAGTGTGTCTATGTTCAATGTCCACAGCTCAGCTGATTCATAAAAATTCGTAAAGCTACAGTATTAATGTTTTTTTTTTCCTCAATACTTTGAAAAGAAATTTAAGATTTTGGTACAACAAAATAATATCCAGACATATCCAGTAATGACAGATTGCACTAGAACTGTAGTTTATGTCTTGAAGATTATGGTATCTAGAATAAAATATGTTTTGTTTTGTTTTTTAGGGTAATCACTCTAAACAATGCAAAAGTAATTGAGGATACTAATGTCTAGTCCTTTAAAGAAAGTGCCTCCATCAGAACCAAAGAACTGAAGAGAGACAGAAGAACAAATAAACGTAATCCAAAGAAGGCAGAGGAATGGGAACAGAGAAAAAAAAAATTGTGTATGAAGACAGGAATGGCTGTTTTTCAGATTTCATCAGAGCAAAACGGTATCTTTCTGTTGACTCAATGGTTAGTCAGACAATACATAAAGACCGTGGGGTGTACCTAGACCAAAACAAGTTGCTATGTCAGAGAGAATCCAGTAATTCCAAAATTCTGAAAATCCCTTAAAGCTCTTCTCTGAGACTGCTGTACAGACATAAGTGAAATGTTAACCTTGTCAGATAGAAGGATTTCTGCATCCCTTCCGCTCTATTTTAACTCTCTCCTTGTTATGCCATGTCCTTTTCTGCTTTCCTCCCCTGTTTTTTCTTCTGGACTTTATGATACTAAGAGAGTTGCTCTCTTACTCCAAGCAGATGTTAGTCTGCCTGTCTTCAGGGACTGGTCACAGTTTTTAGAGCATGTAAGCTTCTTCCTTGTGCCAGTCAGTATCAAGGGAAGAAAAAGAGGTTCAAGGACCAAGCGTATTGTTTGAAATAATGAATTAGAATTAACATTAATTCTTCTAGGGCAAAAGGGCAAAAAAACCCTCTAAGCAAAGAAAAATAAGCACTGTGCATCTCTAGAGTTCCTGGAACACTGCTCTTTGTTAAAGAGAATCAATGTGAAAACACTGGAAACCTCTCTGACATTCATAGGAATTGCATGTCTCCACAAATCTTTTTGTACAAATATTTTTGTGTGTTATGTATTGAAAGCAAGCTTTCAGAGCATAATAATAATTCCTGGAACTACTAAATGGTGCCTTATTTTTGCTTTTATTTATTTATTTATTTATGTGTGGGTTTTTTTGTTTTTTTTTTTTTCCTTTGCAAAGCACTTCCTTTTCTATTGAGAAATTAATTTAAATTGCTTTAACCTTATAAGCCCCTTGGTAAACTGCTAACCCATCTGAAACATTTGTGCTGTTTTCTTTGGAGAAGAAACAGCTCTTTTGCATACTGCAACCAGTAAAATTCATTGCTGAAAAGAGATACTTAATCTAGCTTTCAAAAAGATGCAGTATAGAAAACCAGACTGCTGCATTGTGCTGTTTCACTCAGCTCAATTAGTGCTGCAATGTATTATGAAAAA